ACCAATTCTGCATTTAGAAAGTAATAAAACAGAAGAAAGGAATTGATTACGGAAAACAGCATTAAAAGATCTCTGATTTGTACACAATAAAGAATTTTCTTGCCATTATTATACAGTAAAGAATGAGCGCAGCTGTCGTAATTTATAAACACTGGAGGTAAGAAAAGATTTTGATATTTTTCTGATACCTTCTAGTACGGGTTTCACTAATTATAATAGATAAAACTGCCGTTTCTGGATTTTTTGCTTAATAAGCAAAGATAACTAAAACAAGAAACCACTGTTGTGTAAACAGAGGTTAGACATGACATGCCAAATCAATGAGAGTCACAGCTAGAATTGATTATAGAAATTTATTATATAAGAAAGACTGTGCAGGTAAAAAACAATCATATTTGCAAGTTTATTATGGTTTATCTTTCGCTTGTTGTCTTTATTATCAGCTCTAAGTTTTTCACGGTAATGCTACAGTTAGCAAAACCTTATTTTTCCAGTATTTTTTGCTTATATAAAGTGTTTTTATAAACTGCTGCAAAATTACCACTGCTTGATTCCTTGTTCTTTGAAAATTTTCTTAGTGTAGCAGACAGTTGTTTTTAGTATTTTTACGCTAACGAATGCAAGATTTCAGGATGTTACTCTCGTTCTTGGATCTCCAGTACTTGAAGTTGAGAATATACATTTGAGAAAACTGTTGACATTTAATGACACCTATTCAGGAATGAAAATGTCACTGAGATGGAAAAGACATTTTTGCTCAGCGTAAGCATTTAGAGTTATGATTCTTACTTGTTCCACAGATTACTGCTTCAAATTCGTGTCTTCTTTTTAAAAAATATCTTTATTTATAAAGTTTAAGACCTTGTCAGCCGTCGCAAACATGCACTATGGAAACTGCTCCAGTATATTGGAGAGTTCAACCACCCTCAGTAAGGTTCTTTGCAAAGCCAGCTGCAGTTCCAATTACAATCCAACCGGCTCCTGTTCGATGCCAGATACAGCCAGCTCCTGTGATGGCTCAAGTTCAGCAGCAGTCTAGCAGTTCGTGTCAAACAGCAGGTCGACCACATTGCACCTGCAACCAGGCTCTCAGCTCTTCCTGTCAATCGAAACCATGCACCAAATTTATCTTTTAAAATACCGT